ATACACTGTTTATTCTTTTTTTTTAGGTTGACTAGTTTTGATCGTTATTTCAGTCTCCAGTAGATGGCGATAAAGACACCTATCAGATTTGTAAACGCAGATGAAGAAACAATTTACGACATGTCGAAAAAYACGCTTAGAGCGGTGCTGTTCTTGTCATTTTTTATTTAAAAGAGAAACTTACACCAGGCGTTTTCCTAGCGTGTCCAAAGCAGCGACTGACTTTCGTTTTAATATTAGTTTCGCTTTTTATTTACATATTTTTTACATAATAAGCTATTCAAACTGGGGGGAATTCCAACTCACTTGCCGTGTTTTCTTCTGTGATACAACAAACTCCACTAACCGCATTTTGTTGCAGACGGGTTTGCCCAGTGATCCTGCCCCGAAAATAATAAACGATGCTGGTCACCGTTTTCTGTGCGCCGAGGGATCGCCCAGAAACTACCTTTGCCCTCGACGTGTCCCCGGAGCTGGAGCTGAGGGACTTTGTAGCACTTTGTGAACTAGAATCAGGAATCCCCGCTGGAGAAATACAGGCAAGACYCGAAACTAAATGAAGACCGGGAGCTAACGGAGCTAACAGCTAACCTAGCTAGCATGAACTGAACTTGTCTGTGTTTTTCTCGTACGAGTCGTTGCGAAACCCAGGTTACTGACCGCAAACATGTTTACTGACTTGGTAATAAACATTGTGGGAGGCATTAGTTTCACCGAACAACATGGCTAGTGGAAAACTCCAAAAAGCTGGTTGGGAGAGATAAGCCAATATGGGTGTAGTTCATTTATGACTCAAACAAAACTACTTGAAGCTATTTAAACACAAGTTGGTGTGGTGTGTAAACATACACTACTTTTACTGCTTCCAGTCAGCCAAACTTCATTGAGATTGTTTGATCATTATTTTTAAAGTATTTTTTTATACTTTGGTTTCAATTCCTTTTATTCTTTGTCCAGTTCTTTTACCTGACCATAAGAGAATATTCTGCAGGAAGTGTTAAATAACACACGTGGAAGACAATAGTGTCAGGCATAAAATAAAAATATTTGTAGCAAATAAAACGTATATTTAAGCCATATTTTCTTAAATAGTCTTAGTACCACATTTATGTTTTATATTTCTAAAACTCTTGTGTCTACCATTTTCTGTGTTTGTTCATTTTTTGGTTCATTTCCTGAATTTGGTGCTTTTAATGCTAAAATGATTCATCCAGGTGTGGAGTAGCTGAACAAACAAATCAGTGTTTAAAATCATACCTTTATGGAGTTCACTTATTAAAAATCAGAGGAGGTAAAAGCTGCTAATAGTCAAATAAAAACCTTAAATCACTTTCATAAGTTTTTGAAACTACTGTTCAAAACCCATTTTAAATTTATAAAAAAATTCTTGTTATATAAAAGCAAATTTCTGATGTCACGGTTTATTTATTTATGATGTTTTTTTTTTTACCCAAAAAACCCTTTAGTGATAGCACCAATGTTTGAACAGCTGTCTATTCTAAAGCTACCTTAAAATAATTAAGGATTCATTTATTTTTCAGCTGGGTGAGTTATTGTTTGTTTTTATTTATTTTATTCTGTGTCAGATTACATATGTAGAACAGCCCCTAAAAGACCCCACCCGTGCCTTGGGGACTTACGGTGTCAAGGATGGAGATGTGGTTGTTCTCCGACAAGCTGACAGAAGGCCTCCACAAACCCAGCTGACCTTTCCAGGTAACACATATCTGTTAAGAGTTGATGACAACACAAGCTGTTCAGACTTATTTTACAGTGATAGAAATTGGATACGTTTGACAAGACAGGTTCCAACACGCTAACCTCCTCCTCTTTTTCCTCACTAGGCTTGCCCCGTATTGACTTCCGTTCCATCACTGTCCCGGGTACCTCCTCCTCTCCTTCCTCTTCAGCCACTCAATGTGCTCCTACAAGGCCACCACCGCCGCCGCAGCAGCAGCAACCGCAGCAGGCTCCTCAGCAGCAGCAGCCGCGCGCCGCACAGCCTTCCACGCCAATGGCCTTTCGTGGCCCCACCCCTCAGGGCCTGGACAACCCCGCCTTACTTCAGCAGATGCTATTATCAAATCCACATGAGCTCTCTCTCCTAAAGGAGAGGAACCCTCCACTAGCTGAGGCCCTTTTGAGCGGAGACCTAGGTGAGCCACGAAGACAAAAAAAACCAAACATCTAAACAGTCTTTAATATATTTTAGCTCGTTCTGTATTTGTGCTCTTTTGAACTCAATATTACTTGATTGTGTTTCTGCTAGAGCGTTTCACCAAAGTGCTGCTGGAGCAACAGCAGGATCGAGCCAAAAGGGAACAAGAGAGAATCAGACTTCTGACCGCTGATCCTTTTGATTTGGAAGCTCAGGCAAAGATTGAGGAGGAAATCAGGTAGGGAAAAAACTTGAATCCATACAGCCAGAAGACTCCATCTGATCAGAGAAAACTGATCACATAAACATACAAAATAGTCTCTTTGTCACCACTAGGGTTGGGTACCGAAACTCGGTTCTATTATGGCACCGGGGCAAACATCCATACTAGTACACGGACCGAAACACATCTTTAACTTCGGTGCTTTATTTCGGTGCCTCAAAGAAAACTGTTAATTTGCGCCCTCTGGTGTTCACTGTTAAATGTGACTGCCTCGGCACACAATCTCCATGGACGCTTGTATGCGGTTCGACTCGGCTCGGTTTCGGCCCAATGCGCCTAGGGCTGCCACAAACGATTATTTTAATAATTGATTAATCACTGATTATTTATTCGATTAGTCGATTAATCGGATCATACGTTAATTGAATATAAAACATACAGCTTATCATGTCAGAATGCAGCTGCTATTATATAACCATCGTTAGATTTTAGCTATATGCTAACTAAAAATAATTGCTGTGGAAGRYAAGTTSTGCTCTGCAGATATTGCACAGGTTTCTCTTTCATTTTCTTAAAATGATCCCACACTTTGAGCTCTGTTGTCAGGTAGCCATGATACCAGAGCCTGTCTGTATAATGTCTTGTGACGTCCACGGCCTACCCCAGTTACCACTACTGTGCATGTGTGTCAAGGACAGAAAGGCAGATGTGGCAGTGGAAGGTGTCAAAGCAGTTTGGAGAGAAAAACAAAGTAAAGAACAACAACAAAAAAAGAAAACAATTAATCGATTATTAAATTAGTCATCGATTATTTTAGTAATTGATTAGTCGTCGATTAATCGATTAATCGTGGCAGCCCTAAATGTGCCTCTCGAAGCGCGCTCCACAGCTGCGCTGTCTCAGAACCTCCTCTCCGGTGGTTTGGGTAGAAGCGAGGATCAATTTGGCACCGGTATCGAAATAAACCCTTTCAATACCCAACCCTAGTCACCACAGCTTCAGATAATCATATGATAGTATATTTTGACAGAAGTTTTAGCTGTTCTTTGGAAATAAATCAGACAGAAAGTTCATTCTGTGTGTAATAACTTTTAAGTTCCTTATTGGATTTGCTCATATTCCAGGCAGAACAATGTGGAGGAGAACATGACAATTGCAATGGAGGAAGCCCCAGAAAGCTTTGGACAGGTGGTTATGCTGTACATTAACTGCAAAGTCAATGGCCACCCTGTGAAAGCTTTTGTTGACTCAGGTAACCAACTTTAAACTCTGATGCCTGTACGATGTACAAGTTTGTGGTCAAGAAGCAGAGGGGTTTTAAGATGTAGGCGGGCAACACTGTGGTTTAGTTTAAAAGGGCTGGCATTACAGGTTATTGTGTGTTTAAACTATTACTTTTCACATTAGTCTTTATGACCCCAGAGAATTTGCTTGTGTTGAGTTGTTAGGAAACATTTGTTCCTGCTGTTCTTTGCTTTTAGGAGCCCAGATGACCATCATGAGCCAAGCGTGTGCAGAGCGCTGTAACATTATGAGACTGGTGGATCGGCGATGGGCAGGGATCGCCAAAGGAGTGGGCACTCAAAAGATCATTGGCAGAGTTCATTTGGGTTGGTGTCAGGGTTTCCTTGTTCGGGCCGGTATTTAGAGCAAGACTGTCCAGTATCTTTTGACCTTACTGGATTAATATGTGCTCTTGTTTTATGATTTGATGTTGTGACGTTGACAAATTAACAATTACTAGTTTCTTTCTGCTTGCAGAATCTACAAGTTTAGGTGAAACAACTCTGAATGAGATGTACATTTTTCAAAGGAAGTTCATTTGCTTCTCAGTGAAGCAACATGAAAAATTACACAAAAGTGTAAGACTTGGCATTCCTCAAAGAAACGGTTTAGAGAGAATTATAATTTCTCATTTATCAATTTCTTTATTGTATTCAGTTTTTTTAAAAGGCTTTCAAGACTGAAAACACTAAAATTGCTTATTTTAGCCTCTTACATATTCTTCATTTAGCTAAGATCAGCTAAACGTATTTATCCCACAGAGCTTATAAACACTATCTGAGGCTGTCTGACTCCTGATAGGTAATCAGTTTTCTCAAAGTGGATTGATCCTTTTATGTAAAACTCTGTTGTCCTCTTGCTTGTTTCCAGCTCAGGTTCAAATAGAGGGAGACTTTCTTCCTTGTTCTTTCTCAATCTTGGAGGACCAGCCAATGGACATGCTGCTAGGCCTGGACATGCTGAAAAGACACCAGGTGGGATCTTCTTGCACCTGGGTACATTTGCACTGCAGTATTCTATAAATAATTGTGGGCAATAAACCGAAAAATAACCGACACCGACATTTATGTCAATAACCGACGTCATTTTGCCCGTCGGTATTTTCGGTATTTAAAAAAACGAGGAAAAGAGAAAGCTGCTTATTTTCTGTTGCGGTCTCGTTAAAGCCACCCAGTCTGATACAGGTTTAAACAGACGCTGCTTTCAACAAATCAAACGAACCCCACAGCTTTATCCAATCAGAGCGGAGCAGGGCGGGTCTTTCTGATGTCAGTGAAGCAGTCTGGGATAAACACCGGTCAGCCTGCAGCTCGGTTGCAGCTCCTGTCCTGAGTGAACAAACCCCATCCTCCACACTTTGCTCCCGAGCTACCCGAGACATTGGTATCTAAAATCAAACATAAGTTTATGTGTTCAGAGTGTCATTATCTAACAGATATGTCCAACTTTGCTCGCGTAACCAAACTCCTCTTCTCGACAGCGCTGTTACGTGAGTGAGGCGAGGTGCAACAGGCTGAGTTGTTCTGAGAGGGCCGCTGTTTCAGCTCCTGTAATGAAACAATATTAACTCTTAACAGATGAACACTTGTTTGTCCCATATTATAGAAAAGATGAGTCTCTCCTTAGCATTACCCCCCCGCCCCACACACACACACAAAAAGAAGAAAAAAAAMCCCGCTATGTAGTTTATCATATCTACCAATTTCATTCTTCACAATATAGCTTGCTTATATTTAGAACCATACTGTGACTGAACTACTATGTGATTCAATAAATGATCAAATATGAGGAATAAATAGTATTAAATGATTACATGAGCTCTCTAAATAATATAATCTTTTTGAAAGAAATAGTTATTTTAATAGAGAAATCAGTCAGTCAAACAAATAAAAAAATTGTATTTAAGTTGTTTTGTGCAGCACAAAAGACATATTTGGTATATAATTTTTTTAATAAAAAATTATAATACATAATGTGTGTTTGCACTGAAAAGTTATGAAGACGGTTAAATATTTCTATGTCTATATCTGACTTAAGTCTTGCCAAAAATGTTTTTTATTAAAAATATTGCAAATACTAAAATGACTGAATATAAACTTCAGAAAAGCTGTTCAAAATCTAACCTGTGTACTTTGACTAAGAACATGGACACAGTGTATAATGTGATGACTAAACTATACCGTGTACTTGTGTGTGGTGGTGGTGGTGGGGGTGGGGGTGGTAAGAGTTATTGTTCATTTATCGTTATTGAGTTGAACTGGTCAATATATCGTGATATTGATTTTAGGCCATATCGCCCAGCTCTAGTAAGAGGTTACAGTAGATGCATGCAGATAATCTGGGAATGCCTTGTTTTTCTTCTAGTGCTCGATCGACCTGAAGAAGAGCGTGCTGGTAATTGGCACCACAGGCACGGAAACGCGCTTCCTGTCTGAGGCGGAGCTGCCGGACTGCGCTCGCCTGGCGTACGGAGCAGAAGGGCCTGAAGACGCTCGTCCAGAAGAGATCGCGGACAGAGAGCTGGCGGAGGCGCTTCAGCGATCCGTTCAGGAAAGCGGTAAGAAACGGCCCTGCCTTGAAGCTGTTCCTCATCTGAGCGTTTCTCCAGCTCTGTTGGAGCTCGATGTGCATGTGCCACTTAAAGCTTCTTACTCTCAACCCCATYATCTGAATTTTCACTCACATGGTCACTTCATGTCATCGCCTCGGCAATTTGAATGTGCTGCGGAGCAAGATGAGATCTGTAAGTTGAGAGGTGTTTCTCAGATAAGCAAAGTCATCACTGAAAAAAAATAATCTTGGCTAACATCTTTTATTGTTAAAAAGTACTTAAGTTTAAACTTTCTGTATTTATGACATTTTTTTTATTCTGTCGAAGTTTAGAGAAAATAACTGATAGAGGGTACCAGTGCTAACAACTAATAAAYACTGTTTTTTCCCCACTGCATCTTGTTCAGGAAAGTTTTTTTATATTGCCAGTATGTGGCTAATAACCCTTCAGATGGGTTTCTGAGGAACTTGAGAACAGCACTTGAAACCACCTACGTAAACAAACTATAAACAACATGTTGCTTAGAAAAAGGCATGGGACATTCTTTGTATCAACCAAAACATTAACATTGAGACTGAATGATGTGATTTTGTGGCAGAAATTCAAAAATAATTTAAGAGTTGTATATAAATAAAGGGCCAATRTTTTCTCAAAACCGGGAACCTCTGTGTGGGTTGGTGTCTTAAGCCCTATTCTGACGGGATTAGTTTTACCTAGGGACTCCGGGTAATAAATAAATTACCCCCTAACGTCTGTGTTTTATGTGGCGCATTCGCACAGGATAACCAAAGCCTGAGATTTTCCTGAAATTTACAGACATCTCCTGAATGTGATGTTGAAGCCTGGTTAATTGTTGTCTATTTAGTTGAACGGATGTTAAAAAAAACAATAAACATAAAGTTCTCCACTTTTTCCGCTCTCCTCTCCTCCTGCTTACAGCAGGCACTGTCATCTCCACGGCCGACAGACCCCCACCCCATCCCCACGCGCGGGTACGAGTGGTACGGATTTTTAGCAAAAGTTATGGATTTTTGGGGCTCATTAGGTAAACGTCCAAAGGGGTTGACATGTGAACACCTTCACAGCTGGTGAGAGTRCGCACGCCAGCTACCCAAAGCGCGAGCCTGCACTGCACTACGGCCACAGCTCAACATTCAGCATCAGCCAGAAGACTGCAAACAGAAAAAATATATATTCTTACTGTACAGTGAGCCACCATTTGCTTCTGATTTTGCTCCCACTCTTCAGACTTTTATTTTATTTAATTTTTTTATTTTTTTTATGGCTCACGTAATGTGTCGGGTTTTTCCGGCCTGGGACCGAAAAAGTTTTTAGTGCACTCCAATCCAGACTCAATTCTTCACCAAAAGTAAACAAAAATGCACCAAGAAAACCAAAACCGCCTAATTACATATGGGATTCAGTCCATTCCAGTCCAAATCACAGAGATGCCTATTCGCATTGGATTAGTATTATCACAGGACCTCGAAGTTCAGCGAATTATGGTAGGTAATTTGCGGGGGAATTTTTACTTTACAAATTACTGACATGGCTGATTCTCACGGGATTAACAACACAGACAATCTCTGTAATTATTACAAATAGCATGGGGTCCCTAGGTAAAACTAATCCCGTCAGAATAGGGCTTTATTATGGCTCATAATGTCTCAAACAAAAAAACACTGTCATATTTACAGAAGCTGTTTCAGTTATAAATAAAACATCACAAGATATCAAAGAGAGGCAAAAAAACATGTACAATTGGATGGAAGTGTGTAGAGATCTTGATTAAATTCTGTTCGTGACTGACGACGAGTTTGTGAAAATGCTGTAATTTTGATGTCAGGTTTTCAGGCTCGAGTTGTTTTTGGATGACACCTTTCACACCTGATTGTGTGAAAAGGCCGATAGTTTGGTTGCATGCCCTGTGTGTGACTGCTAACTTTCTCCGTCCCTTTGCATGATGTGTGTGGTGTGTGCCCTAACCCCTGAGCAGGACAGCACTGATGCATTTGGAGACAGCTGAAGAGGGCTCAACCAACCAGGTACTGCAAATTCACAAGTCCATTGCCAGTGCTGAGTCCATTTCTATTTGTTTTATTAGTTTGTTTTGCTTTTATTTTGCTGCTGGGTGGATGTTTGTTAATTTACTTATTTGTGTATTAGTTCTGAGAATGCATACACATAAAAATGTAAAAAAAAAAAGGTGTGCTTTGCATATAAATTTTCTGCACTCTGTTCTGAAGTTATCTGGTTTGCATTATTTATTATGGTGTTTACTGCATTCCCGTCGATTGATTCACAGTTATATTTTCTTCCATAATAGACACTGCAGATGGACAAACTACCTCACCGCAGCCCCCACCATTTACATTACCCAAAAAAGACCAAATGTCCTCCCCCGCCTCTCCTCCCCAAAGACCTTCCTGTGGTCAGCTGCAAAACCTGACCCTGGATCAGTCTCAGTCTGCCCTGGCCAACATGGAGCAGGCGCTGGCACCTGGTCTCCAGGTGGATCCTCAGGCTTCGCCCCCAGCAGCCGATTCTCCTCTGCTTCAAAGTGTCCAACCTCACCCTCTGCCTCTCCATAGTGACCCCAGTGAGCTCCCCGTACCCACCCCCTCACCAGAAATGTCCCACACTTGTACTCCTCCTGCAGAAATATCCACAGCATCTCAGGACCCAGAGGGTGAGGTACAGCCCGGAGCCACACAGGGGGATGCTGGAAACGAGGCGGAGAACAGCGCCATGCACGCCACACCAGAGGACCTTTCTCCCAGTCAGCCCATGGAGCAGGAGGCGACTCATTCAGAGGCAGCTGATTCCACAGAGACCCGCCCAACAGCTCCAAGCCAACCCGAGTCTGTTGATATGGAGTGTCCCGCCATCTCCCACGGTGTGCCGACCACCGATGGGGACCCTCCGGACGGAAATTGCCGGCCCAGCTCCGACAGCWTCCCGTCCCTGGCAGCTGCTCTGAAGGAGCTCCATGAGCTGCTGGTGTCCAACAAGCAGGCTCAGTCTCAAAACCGCAGCACATCCTGCTCCCCATCCTATCCGTGTGGACGAGACTCGGACAAAGCGTCCTCGGAGCCAGGCACCCCGACACCCGAAAACACCCTGCCCATTCCCTCTACTGCCATCGCAGCTGATGCAGAAACAAGCGATGCCAAAGCTAACTGTGCTGCTGCTGCTGTGTCTGATGAGGAAGCTGACCTCCCTGGTCAAGAGGAACATCTCAGCATGGGGACAGTCGAAACTGTGGAGGAACAAGGACCACCACAGTGCCCAGGTGGCTCAGAGGAGCGAGCTGAAGATGAACCGCAGCAAGACAAAACCACTACCATCAGGATCGCTCAGCCTGAGCCAACGGGTTCTCCTGGTCCTGAGCTGGTCCCTGAGTTTAGGGAGCCACCCGGGGGGCAGCGTGGAGGAGAGGGTGCAGGTGCACAAGTCCCTGACACCAACACCCAAGAAAAGAGCCAGACTGAGCACACTTTCCTCGGCCCTTTGTCTGTGGAAGTTGACTCTCCGGAGGATGTCTCAAGCACCTCCTTCTCCTCCTCCTCCTCCTCTGCTCCTCTTCTCACCCAGGCCCCTCTTCWTCCCTCTCCACATCCCTTTATAGAACAGTTTCCAGCTGAGCACGTCCAGAGAATCCAGGCAGCGGGCTTTTCTGCCAGGGAGGCTGTGGAGGCGCTGGAACGAGCCCACGGGGTTGTGGAGCTCGCTCTGATCGCACTTCTGGCTCGCAGTATCACTGTGCCCACCTAAGACTCATACACAATCGTGTTAGCCCCCGGCCTCCCAACTCGGCATTTGTCTTATTTGTACCTTGTAAAATTCACAGGGAAATGCTGTCTCATGGTTTGTCGTACAGAATATCCCAGAAGAAACAGAACTGGCAACATGTTTCTACCTATAACAGATACGTGAGGTGTGTTTGCATGCAGATGTTTTGGGTGCCCACCCTTTGAATTGGTTTTTAGATATTCATCGTTATACGTTGATTTTTTTTTTTTTTACTACTTGTTTTGTTCTCAACAGTGACTTGTTATTAAATTAAAATTTGCTTTAAAACCATTAAAGATGATCATTTTCTCATCCATGTGTGTTAAAAATGTTTTGAAAACCCTAATTTGTCAATGATTAATTTAGAGGATTCAAACTGGATTAGTTTCACTCCAACTTTAATCATCGAAATGTAAGTATTTGGAACAATTTACTGATAAATYATCTTTGTGATTTTTCTTTATTTATTTTCTTTCTTTTACAAATCAGAGCCTAAATATGAAAAAGCTGCAGTTTGGATCAAGTTTACAAATATTTTCCACATATTTAAGTGGAATTCCCTATATTGAGCCACTAACAGTAAAAAAAAAATCAGATTTTTTTATTCAGTTGTAACAATAAATTACATTTTMTCAGTATGTCTGAAGCAGAGGGTCTCGGTTTGTCTTTCTCCAGTATGAAAGCTGCACTGTGCTTTCTTGGGGAAAAAATTTTTTTTGTGTGTGTGTGTGTGTGTGTCAAATCTTCAGCGTGTTCATACTAGAAAACATTTTATTTCATGGCCATTTTTTGTCAAATGTTTAGTCAGTGCAACCAGTATCAACATCAGTGGCTTAATTTGAGTTAAGGCCGATTGAATTATTTACTTTTATGTTGTATGAAATTTTAAACTGCAAAATAAAACTATTATTTGTTTAATTTGTTTGGTATTCTGAGTCTTTTATAAACAGAAAAAAATTGTGATTTTGATATAAAAYAACACTTGAGGATCAGATGATCGATTACACTTGCAGTATATTTTTGAAATAATATATTTTTTTCCACGAATTACTATCAAGTCTTGGTTGTGATGCCTTAATTGATAAGGTTGGCAGGGRTGGGAGCAAAACAAAATCACACCTGCTGCTACTTGAGCTCAGATTAGATGCAGCTATTTAGCTGTGCAGCAGCAGAGTTTGTTCACAGTATTTTAGGAAGCACGTTTGTGGAGATACATAGTGGGAAAAAWTTGTCAGTTAATGAAATGCAGGGAAGAGAGAACTCTAAAAGGAAACATGAAGTTTTAAGAAGGAAGGAGAGCCAATACTGATGATTTGGTGAATTATCCTCTTTCTATTGGAGAAATGAAAAGAGCTTTGGAAAGAACTAGAAATGGTGCTCCAGGTAAAGATGAAGTGTGTTATATTATGCTAAGACATGTGAGTGATGATGTTTTAAATAAATTATTAAATTTATATAATAAAATTTGGATAGAGGGGAAATTGCCTAGTAAATGGAAAAAAGCCATTGTTGTTCCACTTAAGAAACCTGGGAAGGATCATGGTAATCCTGGAAACAGACCAATTGCTTTAACATCTAATATGTGTAAATTGATGGAAAGGATGGTGAATGAGAGATTAATGCAATATTTGGAGTCAAGAAATATAATTGCGCCTTATCAGAGTGGCTTTCGTAGAGGGAGAGGAACAATGGATCCTGTCTTATGTTTGGAAGATGATATTAGAAAAGTTCAGGTTAATAAGGAAACTGGTTGCTATGTTTTTTGATGTGGAAAAAGCATACGATATGTTACGAAGAGAAGGGTTAATGATTAAATTACATCAGATTGGAGTAGGAGGCAATATGTTTAATTGGGTATGGGATTTTTTATGTGTTAGAAATATT